CACCTCATTAGAGCTCTGCCTCTTTTTTTCAATCAAAACTGTTCCTGGTCCCTTGTGCCTGACTGGGGCTCCTTCCTTAGATCCACTTTCAGCAGCTCTGGGAGACCAGACTTTGGTACAAGAGCTCAGATCCCAGAACCAAGAACATCAGAGCAAGGAAGGGCCTTGAGCTCCTGGCCCACCCTTCTCTCCCCTCTATATGGGGAAAAGAGGAACCTAACGGCCAGAGTGGGGCAGTAACTTGCCCAAGGTTACACAGCTAGTGGGGGTCAGAGTTCATGAGGAGGGAGGAGGCTGGCCCAACAAGTAGGCCTAGGTCTTCTTTAAGAGCCCCTGCTAAGGGATATTTCAGAACTGTGACTGTCACAGCCCTGTTCAAGGGCCCTTTGTTGATGGGTCTGTTGATTGTGTATTATTAGCCTGCCCAAGCCTGCAATCTGCTGGGTGGGGCTCACTCACTTTAAGAAAACCCACTGTATAGTCACCAGCCCAGCAGGGTTGGTGGAAGGTCTCTGGAGTCCAACTGGCTAGTTCTGGGCTGGTAGAGAGAGCTAGTCCATGGTTGCTTCATGCCAGGGAAAGGGCTGGAGAAAGGGACTGAGAAGAGGGAAGAGGGATAAGGGGGAAGGGGCCGAGGCATCGCCTGAGTTGTGCTCAGTAAAGCCTCACAGCATCCCTGCGAGGCTGGCACTGTTATCCCAGATTTACAGTTGGGAAGACAGGGACAGAGAGGTAGAGGCAGAGCAGACTTCACAACTTAAGCTGTTTCTACAACAATGGACTCACTTTTCACATGCTCACACCTCCATTTCTGTGGCCCACCCCCCTTTCCACACACTTTTCCTAAAGGATAAGGAGTCAAGACCTGAGTCCAAGTCACACTTGGTCCAAGCCACTGTGGGATGGGAGATAAAGACACTATGGAGCTTTGGGGAGCATCCTGAGGAGGTTTCACTAAACAGATATTTATTGAGGGCCTTCTTAAGCTGATAGATGGTAGAGGTAAAAGTAGTCCATGGAGGTTCTCAGGGCCATCAGGTGTGGTGAGCCCAGCAATTTGTTCTTGCCATCAGGTGTGGTGAGCCCAGTGATTTGGGAGAACATGCAAGAGGAAGCAGGCCTGGCAACTTCAGGCACAAAGCACCAGGAAACTCCCCCAGCAGGGGAGGAAGGAACCCGGGACTCAGTGTACTCTCCTAGTCCCCAGAGCTTGGCTTTCGCCTTGAGGTGGAAATGGGCAGGTGACCTGAGCAGAGTCACCTGGGTTGGGAGGCAGAAATAATGGTGACTCCCAGGCTCCCCAGGGTTGGGGCTGAGCCAGAGCTCCTGGGGGCTGGGAGCTTCCCCGGGTGGAGCCCTACTGAAGGGTGGACCACTCTGCTGCCCTGACTCATCAGGTGAGTGGCTCCAGCATCTTTGCCACTGCTATGTGGGGAGAGTTCCAGCTCCAAAGGCAGCTTGGCTGCTTATCTTGCTTAGCTTCAGTTTTCATCTACAAAAGGGGAGAATAATAGCATCTGCCTCACGGCCACCACCACCAGAGCACCGCACAGCACTGTGTCACCTGCCAGGTACTATGCTGGGCATTTTATTTATTTTTAAAGATTTTATTTATTTATTTGACAGAGAGATAGAGAGCACAAGTAGGCAGAGAGGCAGGCAGAGGGAGAGGGAGAAGCAGGCTCTCCGCTGAGCAGGGAGCGCAACGTGGGGCTCTATCTCAGGACTCTGGGATCATGACCTGAGCCAAAGGCAGCCGCTTAACCAACTGAGCAAACCAGGCGCCCCTGCTGGGCATTTTAGATACAGGAATTCTTAATCCTCACAACCACCCTTTGAAGCAGGCAGTATTTCCGTTTTACTGATGAGGAGGTGGTTAAAAAGAAAAAAAAAACCACCAAGAGAGGTGGTTAAAAGAGAGCACTAAATGAGATAGCCCGTGTTCTACACTTAACATGTGTTGCGTGTAATAAGCCTCGGTGAACATCAGTCATTATTTTTTTTTTAAAGATTTTATTTATTTATTTGAGAGAGAGAGAGAATGAGAGATAGAAAGCACGAGAGGAAAGAGGGTCAGAGGGAGAAGCAGACTCCCTGCTGAGCAGGGAGCCCGATGCGGGACTCGATCCCAAAACTCCCGGATCATGACCTGAGCCGAAGGCAGTCGCTTAACCAACTGAGCCACCCAGGCGCCCAAACATCAGTCATTATTATAATCATTACCTCAGAGGGAAATGGTAACGTGCTAGGCCAAATGTTGGTATTCGGTGATTCATCAGAAACAGAAGCCTGACCAGACCGGACCCTCCAAAAGCTCCCAGTCTAATGGCAGAGACAATCACATACACACCTCACTCCACCACCATCACACACAGATGGTGTGGTGTCAGCCCCCCGTGATGAGGTTAGGTCAGAGGGGTTAGGGCAGTGTGTACCCAGGAAGCCCCTGACCCAGCCAGGGAGGGAGGGCTTTCTGGAAGATGTGCTGTCTGAACTGAAACCTGCAGGGCAGGTAGGAGTTTGGGCATATGTCAGGCTCTTAATAAATGTTGGTCAAATGCAATAAAGATTTACCTGTAACTAACAGTGTAAAGCTTCAGAACCATTCACTCACCTGGCCCTTACTGGGGCTCTGGGAGGACTCTGGCAGTTTTATATTGGTAAATTTGTATTCTTTTTTTTGAAAAAGAAGGCTTCCAATTGTAAGCTTCTGGATCAAACTCTGATTAAATGAATGAATAATAAGTGACAAGGGAGGAAGGTGTGTCCCAGGTGGAGGGATGAGCATGTACAAATGCCCAGAGATGGGCATGGCATGCGATAGGGTGCCCCAGCTTCATTACTGAGGCTCCTCTTCATACACATGGCTGGTCTTCTCACCAGCCTCACAAACACCAGCTGACATGGGTGTGCCTCTGCCCACCCCCATTCTGCTTTCACCCATGCTGTTCTCCCATCTGGTACACCCTCTCCACAACTTTATTGTGTATAAACAATATAAACTTCAAGGCTCAATTCTGTGCCCACCTTCTCCAGGAGGCCCTCCCCCCACCCCTCCAGTCTATGTTGTACTCCTGATCTGGATTCCTCCAGATGATGGTGTATGTCATCATAGCCTGTTCCTTGTAGTTAATTACCTTTTCTGTCCCCATGTCTGAGAATCCCAGACATAGGATGATCCTTGCAAGTGAACATCTAGCCTCTGTTCACATATGGGCAGGATAAGAACTCACTACCTTTCCAGATACCCTGTCTAGATTTAAACAGTGATCTTCTAAACCTCTCCCCTCTGCCACCAGGCCCAATCTACCTGACTTTCCCGGGACCTAGTCCGCAGCCTTCTTCCTACCAGGCCTGCCTCTACAGGCTCCTCCTGCTTCCTCTTCTGACATCCTGGAGCTAAGGGTTACTCCAGGAGCGCTGGAGTCCCTCCTCTTTCTGTCCCCTGCCTTTGTAAAGGGACAGTTCTAATGGCAGCCACATGCTCTGATGAGTCATGGTTAAGAGCATCTGGGGCCTGGAAGTGGTGGCTGGTTAACTCTTCATGGACCAGTGGCTCATTGTGCCAGAAGGCCAGGTGGGCTTCAGCCCTGGTCCTAGACAGATACCTTAGGGTATGCACACAGTGAGCATTTGAGGAGTGTTATGGGTGACTTCATATAGGGGTTGGGGACTCAGAGGGGAGAGGACCAAGGGGGAAAGAGAGACAGGAGTGTCCACCCTGGAGTCGGGAGGGCCAGTTCCAATCACAACTTGCCATTTATTAGGTGAGTTAACTTGAGCAAGTCACAAACTCTGTGCCTCATCTCTGTCTGTAAAATGGCAGCTAGGGGGATGATTTGAGAAGGCAAGTGTGGGGCACCTGGGTGGCTCAGTTGGTTAAGCGACTGCCTTCGGCTCAGGTCATGATCCTGGAGTCCTGGGATCGAGTCCCACATTGGGCTCCCTGCCCGCGGGGAGTCTGCTTCTCCCTCGGACCCTCTTCCCTCTCATTCTCTCTGTCAAATAAATAAATAAAGTCTTTAAAAAAAAAAAAAGGCGAGTGTGAACTACTGTGTGAGCACAGTGAGTGCTAAACCGCGTTATTTTCTGCCTTGTGTGCTGCACGCAGTCAGGCAGTGGGCAAAAGGGACTATTAAAACCCAAGCCTGACTTTGGAGGCTGTGTCTTTCTCAGCATGAATGCCCCCCCACCAATGCAGTAGGATGACGAAGGGCTCAGGTGGGGGCCGCTGCGAGGCGGGAGCTGGGGGGGGAGGGGAGAGTGACAGGGAGGTGGACCTCAGGTCTAAGAGAACTTTCTGGCCACAAATAGGTGGGGCTGTGTGAGGAAGGAACGAGCTCCGGCCCCTGGGGGCTGCGCAGCGGGGGCACTCGGCATGGGCCCGGCGGACCTTGGGCGCCCGGGCCTCTCACCTGTGAGAGCTGAGGGTGGGGGCGCATCCCGCGGCCGCCCCCCGCCCAGCCCCAGCCTCCAGTCGGCCGCAGACGGGCGGCGGCCGCGGCCCCACTCCACGGGCAAGCAGACCGAGGCCCGGCCCGGCCCCGCCGCCTTCCCCGCCCCCGGCGCGCCCCTCCCTGGCCGCGGCGTCTGCGGCTCGGCCGCACAGCGCCCGGCTCAGGGTTCCGGCGGCAGCACCTGGGCCGCGGCTGGCGTCCGGCGGGGGCACCCTGCCCGCCCCGCTCCGCGATGAGCTCGGCGGACGCCGCGGACTCCCTGCCCGCGGGGTAAGTGCGCGACGTGGGCGACCCCATGGGGAGGGGGGCGGGCGGGGGGCCTGGCCTCCCCCGCGCCGCCGGCCCGCGGCCCGCACTGCGGCTTCCAGCCCCCCACCCCACCCTCAGGCCCGGGGCCCCGCCCGGCCTCCGGGAACCGCCGCCGCCGCCGGGGAGCGGGGAGGGGGCTGCGGACGCTCGCGCGAGGGCAGTAGAGGCTCCGGGGATCCTGGGGCGGGCACTCCCCTCTGGGTCCCAACTTTCTCACGGAGCTGTAGTAACGGCCACGTCAGAGCCGCCTTCCTCCCCTTGTGGCGTTTACACCTGTGGTGGGCTCTGTTGTTTTCACCTCCGTTACAGTTGAGGAAACTGAGGCGTAGCTCTTAAGTGGCTTGCCTTGCGTTACCCAGGAGGTGAGCGGTGGGCCTGGGATTTGAATCCAGCTCTCTCTGATGCCAGAGCCCCCACCCGCGTGCCATACTGCCTCATCTTCGGGATATCTGAAGGAGTTAAAAGGCTAAGATATGAATCAGCTGTGCCCATCGGGCGCAGCAGGAACTGGGGTAGTAAAGGTGGGTGTTGTCACTTCCAGTATGGCTCTCCTGCTCTTCCCCACCCCACTGAGGAACCCGGTAGAATCCCTACAATGTCCCTGTAGCAGTGATCGCTGCTAGCAGCTGGGAGACCAGGAGCCATTGGCCCTTTCCTGGGCGCAGGTGAGTAGGGAGCGGCTCCTGAGGGCCCAGCTGGGCAGTTGCTGGGTGGAGATCAGGCTCAGGTGAGCTGGGAGGTGTGCCCGCCCTACCTGGAGCCTCACCACCAGGGACAATATTTGCCAAGGGCCTCAGGGCTAACATATGAACAGGGAGGTGAGGGGGGCTGGTGCCAGCCGCAACTGGAAGCCTCCACAACGCCTGTGTGTGCATCCCGGATGAAGGCTTAGAAGTTGGGTCACTGGGGGGCACTCTGGCCCTGGGGATGGTTGCCTGGTGAGTTTTTCCCTGACCATGTTTGTTGTATGATTTGGGCCACATCCTTTATCCTCCCCGGACTTCTTTTTTTTTTTTTTTAAGATTTTATTTATTTACTTGAGAGAGAGAATGAGATAGAGAAAGCATGAGAGGGGGGAGGGTCAGAGGGAGAAGCAGACTCCCCGCTGAGCAGGGAGCCCGATGCGGGACTCGATCCCGGGACTCCAGGATCATGACCTGAGCCAAAGGCCGTCGCTTAACCAACTGAGCCACCCAGGTGCCCCTATCCTCCCCGGACTTCTGGTCCCTCCTTTGGAAAATACAGGGGGGCCGGGCCTGGCTGCTCCCTTCCTGCTCTGAGCTGAAGTCTGTGCCTCTGGAGCCTGGTTAGGTCCCTTGTGCCCAGCCCTGACTAAGCACCACCCTAGTGTGCCCAGAAAAGAAGCTGCCAGGAGAGAAGGCAGGCATGGAATAGGGCACCTATCAAAGAATACTGAACTCCCAGGCTAGAAGCCACATCCATGCCTCTTCCTTGCACACTCATATCCCTGCCTGAGTCCACTCTCCAACTGCAGGCCCCTCTGGCCCCTCCATGGGCCTTTAGGGCAGCAAGCTCAGTCTTCCAGCACTGGTGGATCTTCCTCATACTGAACCATACCTACCCCCCACTGCATGCCCTCCAGGTCCCCCTCTTCTTTGAGGCCACACAGGTCCATCTGCCCCTGTCTCTGGTCGGTGCCATCCCGGTGGGGTCTGAGCAGAACAGAGGCAAAGCAGTTCCACCTTCACAATAGGTACTCAGTCACTCAACAAACACTCCCAAGGCCTGCTGAGGGTCCAGCCCAGTATATGAGGATCAGTGGTAAACAAACCAAACTTTAAATCTCCACCACTTTAAAAATTATGAAATATTTTAAGCCTTCAGAAAAATATAGCAAATAATAAAATAAACTCCATGCCCTTGCCACCAGCTTTTTCAGATGTCAACATTGTGCCCACTTATTTCATGTTCTTCTTGTTAAGAAATAAATTATAGCAGAGACTTTTGAAGCCTCTGTGGACCCTCCCCTCTGCCCTCTCCAGAGATAATTGCTGTCCTGAATTTTGATTTTGGCATTTGCATTTTTATCTTTTTAATTTTTTCTATTTGAGTATAGTTGACACACAATGTTACATTAGTTTCAGGTGTACAACATAGTGATTCAACTTCTCTGTATTACCCTGTGCTCACCACAAGTGTAGCTGCCATCTGTCATCCTACAACACTATTACAATATAGTTGGTTTTCTCATTCTGTTTTTATTCTTTCGCTGAGTGTGTATAAGTCTAAGAAAATGAAGCTTGTTCTGACTTTAAAATTTTTATATAAATGGAGTCGTCCAGCATGAATCATTCTGCAGCTTTTTTCTCACTGGGCTTCAGGTTTCTGAGATGTAGCCTTCTTGATCCTTGCAGCTCTGGTCCCCACTTTCCCTGATGTATGATATACCGCCCAATGTAGAGTCCTGCATTTATTTGTTTATTGGCCTTCTTGATGGACATTGAGGTGGTTCCCAGAGTCTTGCTATTCAAACAGTAAATACTCTCATAAGGTCGTCCTTTGCGCATATGTGAGTTTTCTTTTCGGTTGCCCCACAGGAGTGGAATTGCTGGGTCATAGGATATGTACACTACATGTTTTAAAGTCATTTAGTTTTCTTATAAAAGCAGTGTTCCTTCAGACATGATGGAAACACATATTCGTACAAAAGGGAAACACATTCTCGTAGAAAAAAAGTAACAATGGCTAACATTTCTTGAGTACTTTTACTGTGCTTTACATTGTCTCAGTCATTCTTCTCAACAACCCTAGGAAGTAGGAACTGCTATTCTTGTTTTCTTGATGAGGACACTGAGGCTCATGGAGGTTAAAGAACCTTCCCAAGTTTCTCTAATGAGTAATTGCTGAGCTGCAGTTTGCCACCACGGTTTTCCGCTTTCAGAACTCTCGAAGGCCACACTGCGCGACAGACACCCTGTCACATCACTCCATGCCACATCATACTCACTTCATTCACAGCTAAGGGAGATTCTCGGAAGGAGAGTCACAATCATATGTGCAATTGAGAGAGGTCACTTTGGGATGGGTCCCCATGGACAGCTCCCCTCCCCGCCCCACACCCTGAACAGAGTTCCTCCTGAATGGTGAAGCAGGGAGGAAAAGCCACCTCTGGCTCCAGTCTGCTCCCTGAGTGACTTCCTTGCACTGCGTCTTCTGCCCCAGTGGGGATGGAGAGGTCCCCCTGCTCCATCCATCCTGTGCATCAGGTGTCAGGGTAGCAGCTTCCAGACAGACAAAAGCCGGGAAGGGGGAGGGATGGGGAGAGGGGGGTGACTCCAGGCCGCCTGACAGCTCCCTTCTCACTCCAGCCTCAAGCCTCCCTCCCCTACGAAGCCAAAGCTCCTGGCATTGGTCACCAGCCCTGCTCCATGCTCCATCCAGCTCAGCGGCACCCCAGTGTCTCGGGTTCTCCAAGGCACAGTGGAAAGGCCACCATCAACCCCTCAGGAGCTCAGTAATGTATTAACCTGGGCTAGCAAGGTGGCTTGGAGCAGAAAGGCCTTGAAGACACAGGACAGCTTGCAGAGAAGTGGGGACCTCAGTCACAGCCAGGGGAGGAGAAAGGTTTGGCAAGCTTGCTTTTTTTGGAAAGCATTTCTGTCTTCTCCCTAGGTTCCTTATCTTCATTGTCTTTATCTCCTTATCTGTTAAATGCAGATAAGCACACCTGCCTCTGGGCTGGTGGGAGAAGTGAAACAAGGCAGTTATCAGTTTAGAACCTGAAGTGAGAATCTCATGGTGGTGAAGGGGTGGCTATTAATGCCATCATTAAGTCAAATGGGACCAGTGTCCCCAGCCTTCCTGAGCTCCCCAGCCAGCTAGGACATCCCCACCTCACACCACTTAGCAAACCTTCCAGAGCCTGTCTTGCCACCTTGCCTGTACGGCTCGTGCCTCTTTATCACTATGGTATCATGACTCTAGCTCCTTGCTCGCCTTTTTCCCCCTCTTGGACTTCTTTTCCCATCTTGTCCTCAGATCAGTGCCATCTTTTCCAGAAAGTTTCATCGAGTGCCCTGTCTCCACTTCTGGGCCATCAGTGATCCCCATGATTGCAGCCTCGATGGTTCTGGCTGTCACTGCCTCTGCCTGCATCTGTTCACTTCTGTGAACTCTTCAAGAGCAGGGCCGGGTCTGGGCCAGAACTAGAGATTAGTGGGTATTTGTGGGAGGAAAGGAAGGAGGAAATCAGTCCGAGGGCCACCCCAAAGCAGCTCCTAGTCTGGAGAGGTCACCTCAGACCCACCTCACTGAAGTTAAGCAGAAGAGGTACTGGGGCTGTGAAGGGAGGGAATGCCCCTCTGTGCTATGGGTCCATCTGTCTTTCTCTCCACGTAGAGTGAGCAGGCAGAACGTCTTTCTTGTTGGGAGGCAGAGGTGGTGGCGGCAGTAGGGTGTATGCAGAAATGGGAGGTAGGCTCTTGGCTCTTGGAGTTGTTTAGAGATGGTCATAAGCCAGGACAGTGGACTTGACTTCCTGGAGCTGAGCTGGTGGGTGGGAACTGGCTTAGGCAGAAACCTGGTTAGAACCCATGCTTGGGCATGTGATCTTGGCCTGGTCACCTCTCCTCTGTGCCTCATCTATAGTGGGGATAATAATCCTACTTCACAGTCTTTGTAAGGACTCAAGGAGAGAAGCCCAGTTAAACACCCAGGGCGGTAGGTACTCACTGCCTCTTCACCCATTCATCCAACAGAATGGGCAGACTGAACACCAGTCACTAGGCTAAGCCCTGGGCACAAAGGAAGACACTGTGCCTATCTCATGAAGAAAGGGACAGGGGCTGCTTCTGGTGGGGACTTTTCTGCCATAGAAAGAAAGTTGGCCTTTATCCTAAGAGTAATAGGAAGCCAGTGAAGGATTTCAAGTTCAGAAGTGACATGGTCAGATTTGGGTTTTAAGCAGATAACTTTGGCTGTTATGAGAAGGATGGGTTAGAGGGAATAATGCTTCCATCATTCTCCCTTATAAAAACTCCCTATAGGCTACATGGGTTACTTCAACCATCTTTTAAAATACATTCCTGAGCTCCCACAGAAGTAACAGAAATCCTCTCAAGCCAAGAATAAAAAGGATGCTGAAATCAGGCTGATAAATGAGATGAAGCCTCAACAACATGCGGGTGTTGACAAATTCCAGAAATCCAGAACCTTGAGTTTTAATGACCACTGAAGGGATGATAAGTAAGGACTTGGGCCTACCCAGTGACAGTGTGAGGAGTTGAAACCTAGCCCTCCTACCACCACCACATGAACCTGGGACCTTCAGAGGGCTACCCCCTCAGCAAATAGACCAGAAAGAAATAGCCACCTTCCCACTAAAAGTGGGACGACAGGTCTGGTGGAGAAATTTATAAATATGAATCTGCCCTCACAAAATTTTGTGTTTGAAGACATACTCCCTTTGTGGTCCTGGAGATACTAACCCAAAAAAGTAACTTAAGTATCATCGGATGGTAACACCCCAGGGAATCTGGCCAAAGTAAGTGAAAATCCTATCTGGAGGAATAGATTCTTCTCCCAAGATCCCTTTGGGATCAGCCAAATGAATAGGAGCTCATGGTAAAATTACAAAACACAAGGAAACAAGTCATTGTGAGCAGTAGACACCCAAATCAAGAAACAACAGAATTTGTTTCCCTGAGAGTCTAAGATGCTAGAATTAAGATCTAGAATATAAATATTTTAATAAACATGTAAAGAAATCAAAGATGGACTTGAAACAATAAGCAGGGAACAAAACACTGCCCCAAACGACCAAGCAGATTTGAAAAGGAATCAAGTGGAATTTCTGGAAATGTGAAAGATAATCATTGAAATTAAAAACTCAGGAAAAGTAGCAGATCAGACACACTTCAAGAGAATTAGTGAAATGGAAGATCTGAAGAAATTACTGAGAATCTCACGGAGTCAAAGAGATGGCAAGAAGAGCGTTAAGAGACTTGAAATACCGAGCAAAACAGTCCAACAGAAAGAAAGAGAAGGGGTAGGAGGGGCGAGAGCGGAAGGGGCAGTCTTCCATCAGACCCGGGTGGGGGTGATGCCAGTACCTTGGAGCCCACCAGGCTCAGAAGGAGCTGGGTTGAGAGATGGTCGGGAGGCAGAACTGACAGAGCTCAAGTAGAGGGCTGTATTAGGGCTGACTCTCAGATTTCTGACTTGAGAAACTGGGTAGAGGAGTTTCATTTATTAAGATGGCAAAGACGGGGAGAACAGCTTTGGGAGAATGAACAAGAGTTCAGTTTTGAACAAGACACATGTTTTGATTTGCCGGGACGATCCGCTGCTGCATCATGGAGGAGGAGATATTCGAGCTGGACCCTAAGGCATGTGTAGACATTTATCTGGTGGAAAGGGACTCTTTCTCAACTAACTTTTGGGGAAGGATCTCCTTTTAGTGAAGTCATCAAGGCCCCTTTTGAAATCTTCTCTCAAAAGAGACTCCTTGAGAAGAGATGTCCTCAAGACCATCCTCAAGATAGGACTTTTGGGATCTCCTAGTTTAATCTCTTATTTTTCAGATGGGGAAGTTGAGACCCAGAAGGGTCAAGGATTTGTTCTCATTTAATCTTTTTTTTTCATTCACTTAACAGATACTTATCAAAAGCCCACTCTGTACCAGATACTAGATGCCGGGGATACAGCAGTGAACAAAACAAGGATTTTTAGTGGAGGGAGACAGACAATAAGCACAAAATAAGTAAAAAAAATAATAAATAAAAATAAATGTGTGTGTGAGGGTGATGAAAGCCATAGAGAAGTATTAAGGACTAGAAGATGGTCCGGTCCGCTGAAATGCCGTTGGGAAGGTGACCCTTGAGGATAAAGGGCCCTGGACAGGCCTTACAGTCTGCTGCACACTGCAGCCCATTGTGACAGAGCTTCTGGGGTTCTAGAGTGCAGGCCCTAGGAGGGCAGGAGAAGTCCTGGAGAAGGAGGAGGGAAAAGGACTGAAGTGGGATTTAGTGGGTGGGCTGTGCCCCCCTGGGGGGGGCAGAAAAGCCGATGGGTCAGAAGGGCCATAAAGACTCCCTTTACCTTTGTGAGGGGTAAGATAAATTTGTTCCTGAGGCTTCCTTGCCCTCCACCCTCTGCTCCTCCCCAATCCCCTCCACCAGATCTCAGATGACACCCCCATTCTGCTCTCCTCCCACCTTTAGGAACACTTAGAGGTGGCTCCAAGTTGTCTTTGTGTTCCAGTACAGAATGGGCAGCCTGGAAGAGCTTGTGACAGGCACCCAAGGCCCACAGGGAGGTTGCATGGGCTCTGTGGGGCTCAGTTCCAGCCTGGAGTGGGGTTGAGGTCTCCTGGTCACTTGCGTGTCTCTCCCAGCAGGACTTCTGTGAGCAGCCTCCATGAGGCCCTGGACCAGTGCATGATCGCCCTGGACCTCTTCCTCACCAACCAGTTCTCAGAAGCACTCAGCTACCTCAAGCCCAGGTGAGGCTTAAGCCTAGGTTGGGGGTGGGGGCCCCGGGGTGTGTGTGTGCATGCGTGCATGTGTGCACGCGTGCGTGCACACACCTGAGTACACTCGGGAGTCCACGTGTAGTGGAGGGATGGGGGGAGTTGTCTGGTCATGGAGAACCAGAAGTCTTATGTAAGAGGAACCCCGTGTAACTGCCTTCAGCCTTCTGGGTCACCATGACCCTCTGAGAGTCCCATAAAAGTAGGGGCTCAGGCTCCCCGTTCTACAGCCCTGAACAGCCAGGCCCTCCGCAAGGTCATTGTGACTTCCTTCCTTTTAGGTTCTCATGGCCTCTTCCACTTTGATTTCTTGTTCCCACTGAATCCACTCAGGGTTTCTCCCCTGTCAGCTCTAACACAGCTGCTTTTCCTCATTTTTCCCCAGAGCACTAAAGATTTGAGTTGCTTTTACTCAAGCCCTTTAGGGTGGTAATGTTGGTTAATCATTTAGCCATTCCTTCCAGTGTTTACTGCCTTCTTGCTAAATAATATGCTTATACTACTCTTCCTTTATCACTTTTTTCAGTTTTTAAAAAGATTTTATTTATTTGTCAGAGAGAGCGTGAGCGTGCATATGCTCGAGCACAAGCAGGGGGAGCGGCAGGCAGAGGGAGAAGCAGGCTTCCTGCTGAGCAAGGAACCCGATGCGGTCTCAATCCTAGGACCCTGGGATCATGACCTGAGCCGAAGGCAAACGCTTAACCCACTGAGCAACCAAAGTGTCCCCTTTTTTCAACTTTTTAAAGACAAATTGAGATAGAATTCATACACCATAAAATTATGTTTTTTTACCTTTTACTTTAAACATCTATTGGTAAACAAGAATTTAGCTTTCTTATTTTTTTTGTAATAGAATAGTTTATATTTTTTAAGTTGGTCATTTTTTTTTTTAAATTAACAAATAATGTATTATTTGTTTCAGGGGTACAGGTCTGTGATTTATCAGTCTTACACAATTCAGAGCGCTCACCATAGCACATACCCTCCCTAATGTCCATCGCCCCGCTACCCCATCCCTCCCACCCCCCTCCACTCCAACAACCCTCAGTTTGTTTCCTGAGATTAAGAGTCTCTTATGGTTTGTCTCCCTCTCTGGTTTCATCTTGTTTCATTTTTCCCTCCCTTCCCCTATGATCCTCTGTCTTATTTGTCAAATTCCTCATATCAGTGAGATCATATGATAATTGTCTTTCTCTGATTGACTTATTGTGCTTAGCATAGTACCCCCTAGATCCATTTGCAAGATTTCATCTTTTTGATGGCTGTATAATATTCTATTGTATATTTATACCACAACTTCTTTATCCATTCATCTTCCCACACTCTTAAAGATTTCTGGGATGGTATTTGTTTACATACAAATTTTCAGTATGTGTGCAGTGGAGAGAACTCTGTGTGTGTGTAATTTGTTCATAAATAAAATTGGTTCAGATTCAACAATTGTTTACTGAATGCCTACAGCATTGCTAAGCATAGTGCTAAACAATCTACACAC